TTTCGCTGAATCTGTCTTTTATTTTCATCATGAGTCAATGGGTATTTTCGGTGATTTCAAGTGTAGATTGTTGTATGTGATAAGTGTATAAATTTATAGGAACAGCATGTGTTTTTACATAATGAATTTGTTTATCACATTCGTGTTGACTTTGTCACTTCATGGGTGTGGAAGTTCCGGGGGAGGCGGTTTTGCAACCAGGGCAAATTTTGTCCTTAGTCCATCATTCCTATTCCTCAGACATTTTGGATTCCATTTGAAATGAAGTGCTTCTGTTGATATTAGACGTTCTTTGTGAAATTTTTCTGGATGATGATTTCAATAGTGTCAAAATCAATTTTGTGACCTGATTCCATAGCGTTAAGACCTATGGCTGATGATTTTGCAAACTTTTCTAGTTCAACCGGATTTCTCTAACAGATTCCCCACGGCGTTTATTCCTTCTCATCTTGATTTCTTGAAAGGTTTATCTGGTGTATATCGCATCACATTCCAAGCAAGCATTTTATTTTATAGAGACAATTAGATTGAGAATCAATCCTTTGGAATTCGACCTTTTACATGGACAAGATCACTGTTCAGTGTGTTTGGTGTTTTGAAGAAAACCTTGATTTTGTGTTTTTTGAGTACCCTTCTGATATCATCTGACCTTTATGATCGATATGGAATGGCAGTTGTTGAGGTCCATCCCTTCAGAATATGTTTTCAACCATATTTAATGATTGTTTTGATTTTGGTAATGAAGTTTTTTGGACAGTTGTCTGTCTTGAGAGCTTCAATAATGTTCAATGTTTCTTATTCTTTTTCCTTCTTATCCGTTATCAAACAATGGATCCGTCCAAGAAGCCTTGTGACAAGTGACACGTTTGCACCAGTGGGTTATAATGATCCAAATTCTAAATGCTTGTTGGAGTATGTTTTCTTCTTGAATATGGGTATATTAAAACTTTCAGTTTTCCTCTTAACTAGACAGTCTAGAAAATGTAGTTCACCGGGGGTCCAATTCTTCTTCCGATGTAAAATGGTTGTTGGGAGACAGATTGTTCAGTTCCCCTAAGAATGGACTGTGTGGGTCTCGTTTTAGTACGACGAAAGTATGATCAATGTATCTAACCCATAATTTAGGTGTGTGAGTATTTTTAAGATGTTATCTTCCAATCTATTTTTGAAAAGATCAGAGACTATTGTGGAAACTGATGAACTCATGATTACTCCCATTTGTATGTCTATATAAATTTCCTTTAAACGTAAAATAATTAGTTTTCAGACAGAATTTTTTAATTATTTTTCTGGTGCACAGTGGACATCTTTCTGATGGTGTTGTGTCTGATTCTGCTAAACTGTGAAAATGATATCGAGAATTTCGGTATTGGGAATACTGGTGTAATAAGTTAATATCATAGCTTACCATAATATCTTGTTTATCAATTTCTCGGTGTTGTATTTTCCATTTGAAATCACATGAATCTTTTATAACATTTTAAGTGTCCTCCTTTTGCAGTGGATAGGTTGTATGTCGGTGAGTTGTTACAATCTACAACTGCTCTTAATGTGGCTATGGGTTTATATATCTTTGGTTGACGACCGTACAATCTTGAGGATACCTTAGATTTTGGTTTTCGTTTAAACCAGAGAGAATTTCCAATTTTTGTCGTTTAGTTCTTCAAGGAGTCTGTTGGTATTCAGTTTCATTTTGTTGAATGCGGCAGATTTCTTCTTTTCCTTAATCAGTAAGTATGGTCCTTCGGATGGGTGTTCAGTCAGCTTCTTTTCATAATCAGTCCTCTCCACTGTCACAGTGATGTTTCTCTTGTCGGCTCTTTTCAAATTTCTTAGGGCTTCATATTCTTGTTGTTGTGTCATTAATATATGTATGTGATATCTTTTGACATACAGATTGTGATTCTCTATTGGTGAACAGTCGTAAAGCCGGTTTTATCATAGGTGCTATTTCCTGAATAACTTCCTCCTGCTAATGAACAATGATTAATTTGTTGTATATAAGCTGAGATTTTGTAAATTTTGGTTTAATAATAATTTGATAAAGCTATTAGTTGCATTGAATAGCGAAATGTCAGTAAAAACAATATCGTTTTCCCCATAGGTGGGTAAAATTAATTTTGATAAAGTCTCACAGTGTTATGCAGTAATGTTTACTGTTGACTTTTCAAGCAAAATGATTCTCTCATAATCAAGTGAAGTATGCCTTCAAGTCACCTGATCCAAACTTGTCATAAATCTAGCTTTGAAGAATCTTTCTTCATCGTCTATCAGGTACTCCAAGTACTCCAAACAACATAGGCTATTGCGATTCGCCTCAAACAACCAGCGCTCTGTCCAGCCACTACTGCCTACCCCCACCCAGCTGGCCTGCTGTGCAGTCTACAAATTCACGTAATACTGTATTACGTCGACTTTTTTTGTTTTCAGGTATTATGGCTTTCTATCCTGTATATATTAAATTCCCTTAACCCTTGGTATTGAACCTGTATAAACTAATCTTTTATTTGCATGGAGGATTTCATCATGAGCTGACATCAGTTAGAGAACCACTGGAAAACCAGCTGGGAGTACTGGACAACTGCTTCGTCCTAGTTTGGGACTCTTCTTCACTACTCACCCACCAGGGTTTGAACCCAGGACCTTCTGGTTACAAGGCGAGCTCGCAGACCATTGAGCTACTGCGACCCGATCAAATGTTGAAGAGTCCCAAACTAGGTTGACGAAACAGCTGTCCAGTACTCCCAGCTGATTTTCCAGTGGTTCTCTAACTTGATTGTAAGCACATGATAAAATCCTTCATGCAATCAAAAAAAATCCCTGTAAAACCAATACTTGTTTTCTTATTTAAACTTAGTCATTAACTTTCTGTCACACACACACACACATTATCTTCTATCGAATTTTCTCCCATCCCTGTCCTTGACATGATCATTCATCCATCTGAAGTTTATAATCAATATGAATAGAACTTGATATGAACACCTACCTATTCATGGGAATTCATTTCTATGTTTTGGTTGTGTTATCCATGATCAGTTACTTTGGTATATTGGTGTTCAATTTACTGTTACATTTATACGTATTATCGCATATATACGTGTTTTGAACTATAATACTCTGTTAACAACCTACTAGTTGTCAATACTGTTTTTTGTTATTCTGATGCCAGTGGCTCAATTTCGCCTTAAAAATAATAATGCTATCAGTAGCAATAAGTCTTTGATTATTATGGATAATAAAACTGTAGTAATTCCATATTAGTTTGTTTATTAGATGTATCACACAATGAAACAGTATTATTTACTGGATGACAAGGTTTCGAATACAATTTATAAGGCTCTACAGGATTGATCCTTTAACCGACAAAGTTTGTTTATAATTGACTTTGTGGTTGGCTTTGAATGCCAGCCACTTTTATTCCTGCCTGCCTTGTTAAGAATTTCGCGTAACGTGGTTTCCGAGGTTCCTTCCTTGTATGACAGGAATTACTACTGATGATTTAGATTCCTTAGTGTTGGTGTTGTCTTGCGCATATTTGACATGCATTTCGTCATTATTATTATTATTATTATCATTATTATTATTATTATTATTATCACTATCAGTAATATCATTATTTACTTTATTTTTACATTTCCCTACATACTTTCTGATTACTTTATCAGGGTAATTATTAAGTTTCAAGGCTTCTCTTATATGTATCACTTCTTGTCTTAGATTTTCCTTGGTACTACTTAGTTTTGTGCTCTGTCATTTAATCATTTCACCAACAATAAGAAATCTAAATCATCAGTAGCAATTCCATACAAGGATGGGGCCTCGGAAACTACTGTACGCAGAATTCTTAACAAGGCGGGCAGGAATAAAAGTGGCTGGAATTCAAACCAACCACAAACTCATTTAGAAACAAACTTTGTCGGTTAAAGGATCAATCCTATGGAGCCTTTAAAACAAGACACTTTGGCTTATCTAGTACCCTGCCTGCAATGATCGTCAGGTCAAATACATAGGTCAAAGTAGTAGAACAGGGGAAGTCAGTCAGACTAGCCAACCGTAAAAAGCTAGCAAAATCTAGATTGGTTGACCCGAATAAGATAAGAAATCTAGAGGATAGTTCAGCTATATAGCACTACATCACATGCAATTACACACAACCATACAATAGGCTGGATTGGATAGGATGACAGTTTCAAAATCTAATGTAACAGCAGGGTGGAGGGAGAGAATGATAGCAACGGAAGCTTTGTTTATCGAATCAACTGCAAATACATGTAATAGGAATGATTCAACACCTGTCCAGTCGGATATCTGGAAAATTCTCCTACCCCAATGACGACAAATAGGAGAGAACAACGAAAACTATAAAACTCAAGTTTCGAAGTCGCGTGATTATAATTGATATGATTATGAACCGCAATAAATTTTGTTCAAAACGTTACCCAGTAAATGATACTGTTTCAGTGTGTGATACATCTAATAAACACACTAATATGGAATTACTTACTACCACAGTGCCCAAGTTTTACACGTATATTAATAAAACTGTAGAAGCTATTGAAGAAGAGGTTATCGAAAAGAATGTTCTGTGTTCATCAATCAACCTTTTGAGATTTTTAATGGTCATCTTTAATCTTCACAAATCTACTTTTCGGCTGACTTTATTCACTAGGTTACTATCTATTCATAATGAAGTTAACCGACATTATTACTAAGCTATTCAAATACACTTTAGATTAGATATGCGTCTAAAAAATTAATTCCCTCATAATCCTGTGTCTTTTGACTGACGACTTAGCAGCATGTCGTTTACAGTCAAGTTGCTATGTTGATGCATAGGGAAATTAGTGAACTGGAATTTGGACACGCCTGTTTTAATGTTTGTTTTTTTGTATGGCTTGGTAATCTCGTTTGGTGTATCCAAAGCGTACTAATCCTGTTAAATTTTGTTGTTGTTATTGTTGTATTGAAACTTTTATTGATATTACATTTAAATTTAGTTTATCGTGGATATTTGTCATGGTCAATCAGTCACAGTGGAGGTGTATGATAAAGATCAGGGCAATAAGGACGATTATTTAGGCTGGTAAGTGTTTACTCTTGTATTTGTAATAATTTCAGATGAACTGTTTAGAATAACTTGTTTTAACATGTACTTTAAAACGATATATATATATATTATTTGAACACACTAATATCGGACAACAGTGTCATGTGACTTACTGTTCGCACTTTAATATAATTAATCTGATGCGTACTAGTGACCGGCTACCAGACGAAGTTACCTGAATTTCTAGTGAAAATACGTGACCAGCAGGGTCAACCTGGTCGCTAGTTAGAATAAATACTTTAGCCTATGACCCAATGCCTAGTGGCCAAGTTAAAATCCTGAATTGGCAGAAGTTGGAATCCGTGGATCATTGAGTTAGTTTTCAATGACTGAACGGTCTACCAGCTTCTCTAGTAAACAGAAGGTTCTGGATTCTAACCCCTCTTGGTGGGTGCGTACTGATGAAGAGTCTCAAGTGAGGACGAAACAGCTGTTCAGTAGTCCTTGGTTTTCAATAGTTCTCTAACTAATAACAATCTGTGGGCAAACTTGAAACCTTAATATTTACTTTTTTTTTAACTGTTCAAACTCTCGTCATTTGGCTGGGAACCAGTTTCCCTCTTACCGTACTGATTGAGTGCATCATTGATATTTTGTATTTGCCATAGAGGATATCTATTGTTTTGTCCATAAACCATTTGACGACGTAAATATAAGTCTGTCAGATCAGCGCAACCATCGAGCGATAACGATTTCTGTAAGATATATGCTCTTTGTTGTTAACTGTGTCCATTTTACTTGCATCCAGCTTCCGGGGTTTCATTTTTGTTGTTGTTGTCAAGATATCCTCTACGAAATGAGTAGCGATCGTCTATGAAGTTTATGTGAAAAATACATATCCAGACATGGAAATAAGAACAGATAGTGTAGCGAAGTGTTGATTTTCGTTTATGCATTCACTTAATTGTACAATCGCAATTATATTTAAGTAGTTTTGTTTGTTTGTTTGTGTGTGTGTGCATGTGTGTACATTCTCTCTGTCAAAAAAAGCACAAATTATTTTGGCGTATTATTTAGTTGCTCAGAATATTTCAAAGCAGTGATGTATAATGAATAATCGTAAACTAGGGTGCGCCGGTTGCGTAATAGGAAAAACGACCAGAAAATATCGGATGTTCATGAAAGATCATGGGACCAGTATCAAAGTAAATTATGTAGTAGATAGAAAGAGTGAGTAGGAGGTTGCTTAAGCAAATGATGATAATAAACGTCGTACAAAAAATGCACAAAATAGGATTAATAACACAATACTGAAAACAGTTGAGCTTGACATTGTACCCAAGGTAGAAGTGTGGTGAAAGCTGTCTACAAGACAAAATTGTAGACAACAATTTACGTCAATATTTGCATCCCGAAGAGCGGTCAAGAGAGAAAAACAAGACGACAGCCTAACCTTGAGGAACTCAACAACCAATCACAGCACACTTAGTGTGGGCGGATACGATTCGCAGGTATGTCACCGGACTGTCTAAGAAACGTCAACAAACAGATGACAGAATAACCTTCAGGGAGAAGACAACCAATCAGAAGACGTTGCTTCTCTGCTAACAATAACGAATAATAATAATGTACATAAAAATCTATAAATATCTGTTGATTTTCACAATAAACGATCTGTTTCCTGGCCCTTGTCTTCTGTTGTCACACCTCTAGTTTTGAACTCATGGAACTACGCATCCACCCCCAGGGTTCGAACGCAGGACCTTCTAGTTACAAGGCAAACTTTTAGACTATTCAGTAATTGAGACCCGACTCAATCACCCATACATGAATTCTAACTTTTACTAATTCGTGATTATAGCTCAACTGACACTTTTATTTTTCATTTGTGTCCTCGTATTCACACATAACATGAACAAAGTATTTTTGTTTTATTCATTTACATGTTTATGTCCTGAATGTATGCGCTCGTCTGTGTATTTTTAGTTGTACATGAGTACAAAATTAAATAGTGCTTTGAAACAACAGAGTTTTTTCTCGGTACACTGGAATCATTCAAAACAAATAAAAACAGGTCTGAATGAATTATTGAAAGTTCATTTGTTTTTGTATTTGTTAGAATTCATGTATTTTTTTTGTTTTGTGTTTTTTATTATCCTACCTTTTTTGTTCTATATACTAATCACACATTTTGTTGTTGTTGATAATTTTGTTTCCGACTTGTCATTAAAGTACTTCAATACCAGTAGAATCCGTGTGCAATGAAGGTGAAATCGATACGGTAAGTGTGAATAAAACTTCGATTGTTATATCGAATAATTGTTATATTGTGTAACATGCATTTAAAAAAAATTATTCTGATTGTTTTAATTGTGACAAAATCATTGCGAAAAATTCTTCTGTGTCATTGTAATTGGCTAAAAACACTGATTTGTTGTGATCTGAACGTAGGACGATTTTTGTGTCCTACTTTTATTACTGACCGAAAATTCCTTGAGACACGTGCAGTCACTCTCCGAAAACCGGAAAAAAGACAGTTATCCGCCGTAAAATTCATAGTTCCTATTTAACTATAATAACATTAGAAACATTAGAAATTTACCTCGACAGTGCAGTTATGGTAACTATACAGGTTAAATAAATACTGTAGAACAAAATTAAGTGACCTAAAATCAACTTTAAAAAGTACTTAACAATCAGGTAGGATATTCCTAACAAAGTGGGATGAACTCTCTGTCAGCGAGACCGTTCAAGGTGAGAATGACCTTGATTCACTCAAACTAAATCACATTTGTAAAATTACACACTATCAATACCTTCATTACACAGTCACAAAGAGAAGCACTAACTTTAGAGACTAAACAGGAACTAATATGGATTAAGTTAACAGAACAGTGATATACAGTCTATGAGAAAGGAGGAAAATAAATACCAAGTTGGTTACAGAATTTCATCATGAGCTGACATTAGTTAGTGAACCATTTGAAAACCTGGAAGTACTGGACAGCTGTTTCGTCCCACTAGTTTGGGACTCTTCATCAGTATGCACTCACCGGGATTCGAACCCAGGGCCTTCTGGTTATAAGGTCTAGTTGCAAGGTTACAATGGGTTCGAATCCCAGTGGGTGCGTACTACTGAAGAGTCCCAAACTAGGACGAAACAGCTGTCCAGTACTCCTAGGTGTTCCAGTAGTTCTCTAACTAAGGTCAGCTCATGGGGAAATCCTGTAACCATTCAATCAAATCCCTACAAACCAACACTTGAAGTACCAAGTTGGTTGAAACATCGAATCAAGTATCAATATTGTAAATAGATAGTTCAGGAAGGAGTTTCCAAATAATTACTTACTCGCTTACAGTAATGTCATTCCCAAGTTGAAGAAATTACCGGCAAAGTAGTAATCTATTGCAGTTACGCGCGAATGATCTCTGTCTTCTTACTGACTACGAGGAACTACCACTTATGTGGCTGTAGTGAATAAAACTTAACAGTTTATGATATCAAGTAGCGCAATTTAAAATCGATTAAAACTGACGCTACTCAAAGAATAATTAAAAAATGAGTGAGTACAAACATGTTTCACAGTAATGTTAAAGTCCAGTAATATGTAAGTTCACTTGATGTAACACTCAGCAGTATAGGATGAATAACTAAATGATGTTTCAGCATATTTTTCACTACCTTGTATCAAATAAACTTATTTACTGTAGAGGCTCATGTTTCAAATTTTATTCGTACACTTATGTTGAACCCTTTTCCCATATAAAACTGCATTCCTACATGGTATGAGTTCAAGAGAGTTCGGTGTGTTTAGGTATGCATGTATCATCGAAGCATTGTGGTTAGAAATGCAGTATTTCATCCATTGTCACAAAATTCTTTTCAAATTTTTTAAATACAGGGCAACTAGTCCCGTTGTCTACAAGTTTATCCGTTTGAATGATTGCCGATTAAATGATATAGTATGATGAGTGATATTCAGCTTAGATAATGAGAGGATATGTCAATCGATGACGCCTGTGAAGCTTCATAGATTGAGATGGCCACAATGTGTGTTGCGCAACCCCGACCCATCGCCTTCCTCGATGAGTAATGGTAACTGACGTAGAATCAGGTGAGAAAACAGTTAGTCAATCAGTCGATGAAGTCCTCAACAGCTAGTTTGAGCCAGCTAGCCAAGCATAGAGGTGTAGACTTCCTCGATATTCTGAGAATCAATGACTGGAGAGCGTTGACGACCACCCCACCCCCAACACTTTCCTGATTATTATCGTGTTTTTGAGTCTTTTTTTGTCTCTACTTTTGTGTGTTATATGGAGTGTGTCGACCTTGAACGGCTGCACTTTTGTGTAAAGTAGTCCTATGCTGAAACTCAGTCAGTCAGACTGAAATTCCACTGAGCAACATTGTCATATAAATGAAAAAATATTTTGAAGTAAAAAGAAAACTACCAGAATATTTACAGACTGTCGTGTAAAAGTATGTAGCACCAAAGTAATTATTCTTTCTTTTTTTTTGCTTAAATTTCTCATAGTTTATTATTTACTAGGCTGCGTTTATTGATTTTTCTCGAACTATTTTGAGCTTAATTTTTCTTCTCAACTTTATTAAAGTGTGTTACAAAATATGCAGATTAATGTTTATATTCTCCAATTGCTACATAAACTGTCGTCTAGATTTTATTGTACTCTCTTTTCAGTGCTCTTTAGCTGGTCCTATGATTGCTCATAGGCTTTCATCTCCTCCTACTCCTCACACGATTTGATCTATGTCAACGTGTTATTCACAGCTATTTTCCCATTCGGGTTTCAGTCCAGTGATAGCCTGATTAGTGATGTTGCTTACTGGTCGCCTCAGCATATGTTCGATCCATTTCCATTTTCTTTGGAATATTTCTAGAACAGTAGGTCTATTTAATCCCAAGATTAACAAACAGAAGGCAGTACGGAAGCCTCTGAGGTGACAGTCGTAGTAGCACATTTCCAAGCTGCGAACCCGGTGTTTCCAGATGACAACACTCAATGAATGTTGATCTCTTCTGAGTATAGACTTAATCTGCTTATATTTTTTATTTTTCTCCTTCTTCAGTTGTTATTAATAGCCAAATATTTATAAATACGAGGATTCTGCGAATATCATGTCAATTGAGTTAATTTTTTCCATTGTTATTAGGATATGTAGGCGCGATATAAACCACTTTTTTTTTGGGGGGGGGAGGAGGAGTTCTATTTCAGGTGGATAGAGTATATCAGTTTCGACTTTCTATTCCTAAAGATGTGAAATGTTTTCTATTCAAGGTCTTTGAACTATGAGAAGAGTTGAAAAGTTGTGTTGGTGTGTAAATCAGTTGAAATTCCTATTCCAAATGTGCTGTGTACTCTCTTTCTCTCCTGTAACGACAAAAGATAAGGGCCAGGAAACAGATCGTTTATTGTGAAAATCAACAGATATTTATAGATTTTTATGTACATTATTATTATTCGTTATTGTTAGCAGAGAAGCAACGTCTTCTGATTGGTTGTCTTCTCCCTGAAGGTTATTCTGTCATCTGTTTGTTGACGTTTCTTAGACAGTCCGGTGACATACCTGCGAATCGTATCCGCCCACACTAAGTGTGCTGTGATTGGTTGTTGAGTTCCTCAAGGTTAGACTTTGCTATTGTTCTATCTCGTGACCTTGACGTAAATTGGTGACTACAATTTTGGCTAGCAGACAGCTCTCACCACACTCCCCCTCTTTGTGTGCATTTTTTCCTCCAATAACGATAGCAGCCTGTTTCACTTACGAGATCTAACAGTTACTAACCATTATTTGGATGATATTGCCAGTGAAATCAATTTGGCTTTTCAAGTGTTGGTTCGCAACGTTTTAATTGGTTTTCCAATTTCGTCCTAGTTCGGGACTCCTCATCAGTACGAACCCACCGGGTTTGTAAGTGGCAGGTCCTAGGTTCGAACCAAAACGGGCGTGTACTGATGGAGACTCCCAAACCAGGAAGAAACAGCCCTCCATTACTTCCAGGTTTTCCAATGGCTGTCTAACTGATGTCTCGTCATGATTAAATCCAGTATTTTGGTTTTCTTGACTTTCTTATTTGTTGTCTTTGCCGCTGACACTGACACATTTTTATTGTTATTATTAATTAGACGTAATCTGATACACTGCAACGTTATAGTCTAATAAAAATATTTACTTCTATACTTGACACTGAAATAATTTTCTAGTGAAATGTATCACCTAATGCAATGCGCCATTATGGTGAGTCACAGTAGTGCATATGGTGACCTTCAACTCTTGAATATAAGTACATACGGGTGAAGGTCATTCGTTAATATTTTAAAGCCAAGTTTTTTTTTATTAAAGCTTAATTCCATACAGTATTTTTGGTACAAGTATGGAATTTTCAGCATGTGATATCGGTATCCCAAATTTTGCAGGCCGACCAATTTATATCAGGTGTGTGTTGGCTAGGGATCGAACCCAGGACCATGTGCGCATGGTCGGTGAGAGTCCTAACCGCTGTGCCACCGATGCCGTTGTATGATAATGTATTTATATATGAACTAGTCTCTGAGCCTAGTGGTATACTAATTTTACTATTCAGAAAAATTTAACAGAGCACCTTTAAAAGGCTATGAAATCAGGCTTGTGTGTTCTGGTGCACAGTGCTCCTTGTTCGGTCGAAACTAATCCAGTTTAAATAATGAAGATTTGAAGGTAATTCCAAATTCTCAAGGGTCATAAGGCATCAGAGGTTTATTATGAGGGTGATAATAAGACTAGTCAAGGAGCCGACTAAATTGCTTATCGTAATATGGAAGATTAAGGGTGATATTAGACAGCTGGAGGCAATCGGCCACAGAAAGCCCTGGGCGTAGGTTTCGTGCTATTTGGCCCTCATCAGCAAGGCTGCAGCATTGGGTGACGCGGGTTCGAATCTCAAAAGGGACATGAGTTCCTTCGCGGTTGCAGATACGCCTTGCTGACTGGTGAGTGCCAACTAGCTATAAACGTAGGTCCAAGGCTTCCTGTGGCCGATTGCCTCCAACTGTCTAATATCATCAAATCAATATGTACCTTGATGGCGAGCTGCCTAGAACGGTCGCCACATTGCAAAACCTGACTGATAGAATTCAGTCTGCACCACAGAAAGGACTAGACACCTCACACTAGTTACTGGTGTCCAATCAAGATTGAGGGTGTGCCTTGTCAGTGTGGAGTGTTTGGCCATCATTTTACCTGCTTGTAGAATGAGCCCTCTGAATACATGCGAAAAGTTTTGGGGTATTAGTCTGTCGTGTCAAAAAAGCTAGTAGTTGCTATCATGCTTTGCAAAAATTCGATTGTCACACGTTCACCCTCTCTACCAGGTGTTAGGACGCCGTCACATGGTCTACATACCAACAATCTCTGTGTCTTTTGATATTAAGTTTGCCTTCGATTGACTGTTTATAATAATTCTTTAGAATTGTGTTAGTTTGTCGCCGAATGTGTGAGTAAGAATGCTATAATTTACGATATGAACGCCTGATAATTTCCTGGTCGATTATTATATCTCAACCGAACTGAATAAAATTCCTGAATACTCACACACAGTAGTAGGGTTAGTGAAAACGAGTATTTCCAAAACAGATGGGAGAAAAGTGACACTATGCGTACAAAAATATATGGCATATATTGATCAAGTCAGTCACAAGGCTCAAATAGTAGGCGTTAACTAACTGTATTCTGGATTTTGATTGGTTGACGCTCATCATGCGACAATATACCATTAAGCCACTGGGACCCGATCCAATGTTCCCAGTGGCCTAATGGTATACGAGCTCGCCTTGTAACCGGAAGGTCCTGGGTTCGAATCCCGGTGGGTGCGTACTGCTGAAGAGTCTAAAAGTAGGACGAAACAGCTGTCCTGTACCCACAGGTTTTCCAATGGTTCTCTAACTAATGTCAGCTCTTGATGAAATCCTGAAACCAATCAAATCCTTACAAACCAACACTTGAGAAATATTTTGATTGGACACTAGTAACTAGCTAGTGTGATGTATCTAGTCCTTTCTTTGGTGCAGACTGAATTCTATCAATCAGGCTTCCTATCGATTTTCTCCAATCGTCTAATATCATGAAACAGGAAAATAATTCCTTAGATGTTCGTCAGAATTCTGAAAGCTCTGTACAAGGCCACTTCTGTTATAGTGATATGCTATACAACCCAATATCATTACTATTTTCAATGAACAGTGTGATTAAACATGACTTTCCTGCTTCTTCTCATTTCCTTTCAAATTTTTTCATCAATGGCATTATGTGAGAACTGCTCTCTCTGTCTGAAGAATATGCACTCTGAGGGTGTAGATGTTACTGCTATAAGAAATTAGCGCTAAAGCTGATCAGTCACTTCTCCATTGACACCTGCAGCAGTGCTATTCTACCTTTTTACAAAAATAGTGGTATATATATATATATATTTGATGCATCTTGTTCTTCATCAAAAATTCCATTGCGATATATATAAAAACAAAACACGTAAATCAGCGGAGAGACTCCATTATGAGTAAAATTTATTTTGCTTAAGTGTCACAGTGTTATACAGTAATGTTTACTGATGACCACGTTTCGAGCACAATTTATTGCCACTCATAATCATATCAAGGCACTACTCACACAACTTTCTGACTTCGTTTATATAACTCCAATATTTTCCACCGCTTGATTTGATTGGAAGTTTTATTTTCCATATTTCCGGTATGAGTGATGAGTCATTTCTATTGCATGTGTTGGGCGAAGACTCGATGAACCAGGCAGGATTCAGTAATAAACCTCTCTCGCTCTCCACCTACCTAGATTACTTTTTAGAATTTTAACCCTCTCCCAATTTACTGTGTGATTGTGTGTTGACGCATGCAGTGCAGTCGCTGAGTTTTTTTCTAAATTACTTATCTTCCCGAGGTCAACCATTCTGAAATTAGCTAAATGCTTTTGTCCCGACAATCTGATAACCCCGGATCTACCAGTTTGACCTATGTAGTTGACTTCACAGTCATTCCAAAGTTTTTTGTAAATTATATTATTTTGTCTAATTGCGTCAACAGGGTCTTTTAACTTACAGAGCTTGTCTCTGAGTGAGTTTATATGTTTAAATGCCACTCTAATTTCTGCTCTATTAATAATCCTACGTAGAATTTCGGATGCCCCCTGTTTATATGGTGAAACTGTAGATGCCTGATATTCTTTCTTATTTATGTTATCATTACTAGTTTCACAATTATTGTTATTTTGCTATCGGTCTTTTCTGATCTTTCTAATGAATTTTATAAGATCATTATTCAACACCAACGCTTCTTCTATTTGTTTTATTGTTGATTCTTTATAAAGGCTAGTGTGCAGTTTACCTTCTTTTATTCTTTTTATTTTACAATCTAACATAGCTGATTCTCCTTGTTCGTTTTTTGATGCAAATGTGAATTTTATTCCCTCTACTAATGGGGTTATATGAGTCAAGAGCTAGAGATATGTTCTATTTTTAACACTGTGTGAAAGTGTCATCCACATATCTCCACCATATTACCTTTGGGGTAGGATTAAATGTATTAAAAGCAATATTTTCCCAGATGTTCATAAGTGGAATTATACTCTACCACAGTGCACAATTTTTATTCAGCAAAGAGACTTTTCAACGGATTTATTGTCAAGATGTACAGCAGTATATATATATATATATATATATATATATATATATATATATATATAATGTTTAAGTAATTATATCCGATGTGGGAATTCAATCGTAGGTGTGAATACATAAAATAAAATAGTGTAGCAGAGGAGGGCAAGACATGGAAATAGAGGTATATTTTAAAGTGATCAAACCGCTATGTATATCTATACATTTTTATATTCTTTAACCAATCCCTGAGCTTTTGATTTTGGTTTAAACTAAGCGACATGAAATAGAATGTTCAGATATACACATCTGGTATTCTGCTGCTAATGCAGTATTGAACTATGGGAACATGTGAGAAAAATATACCGTCGCCACACATTGTCTGCATTACACCACCACAATAGTAATATGAAACGTAATTAAAACGTCTGTAATTATAATCATAGTTAAATGTCAAGTGGCAAAACAATTAATGCCTTATATAGAATAATTCATATTGATGGATAGAACTTGGATAGGGTGTTGAATTATAAGATTAGTAGGCAAATAGAATAAAATAAAAGCGTTGTGTTTAATTTGATAACATTGAATTTTGAAGTTGCAAACCACAATTGATTTGAAATGACAAAGGATTAGGGATTACCATACTTTAGCTTATAGGGGTTAAGACCATGGAAGTTGGGGGGGGGGGTTGAACGAACGTTTTCTGTACACAGAGATCTGGCGTTTCTGTTTCGTTAGCCAAAGCTTCAGCAATACAGATGAGTCGGGTACGTCGGGATTTGGGTAGATGACTTTAAAGGCGGGGGCCATAGAGATAGGGTGAACATTATCGACCAGATGTTCAATGATCGTGCTTCTTATTGCTCCACTTTCACCTATTCATAACCCTTCAGGATAGTGTCCTTGTTTTGCCACTTGATATTTAACAATGATTATAATCACGAACATTTTAATAGCATTTCATACTACTATTATTATTATTTCATGCATTCACACCTATGACTCAATTCCCTCATCGGATATAATTTCTTAAAAACGATATACATACGACTGTATAGCTTAACAATAAATTCATATGTAAAGAGTCTCTTCGCTGATTTACCTGCTTTGATTCTCCGTATCTTGTTTTGTTTTGCAGTCGTCGTGCAAATGAGAAGTTTTACTCTTCAATTTTTTTATGATCAATTTTGTGTTTCATTTCTGTTTCTGTTTTTCTTTCTTTTCATCAACACATAGTGGTCATCTTTGGAAGGTGTTAAAACTGGTTCGTTGCATATGCAGTTAACATGGTTTCGAATGTCAAGCAATGATATGGATTTTGCAAAGGTTAGAGAAAATTAATTGAATTGTGACTGTTTCTTTACTTGAATTTATTACCTAATTTCAGATAAAATTGATATCAGTTAGGGAATCATTGAAAACCAACTAGGGAGTGCTAGATATCTGTTTCTGCCTAGTTTGGGACTCATCAGAAGTATGCACTCATGACCAAGATTCGAACCTAGGGCCTATCGGTTACGACGGGAAGCTCGTAGACCATTGGTGGACCACTGAGTTGGGTATCAGTGGCTGAATGAATGGTCTGCGAGTTTTCCTTGTAATTGGAAGTTCTTGGGTTCAAAACCCATTAGGTTTGTACTGTCGATGAGTTCCAAAGTAGTAGGATGAAACACCTGTCCAGTACTCCCTACTGTAGGCACTAAGAAGATGTTTCGTCCTGTTTGGGGACTCTTCAAAGGCATTAGCGAAGGAGGGGGAAAAGCATCATATCCCAAGTTGACAATGTCAGAATTCAAGGATCTTTGAATTCCATCCCAAATGGATGCATAGTCAACTCGTTCGTTCTTGAAACTTGAAGAACTTGGGCTTGATCACTGGTCGTAGAGTCATGCGTGGTGCATATGGCTATGAATAGTCTCAAACTAGCAGCTGTCCAGTACTCTGCACTGGTTCTCACATTCATCTCTAACCGACATCAATCCACGACCAAACTTAAAACAAGTCAATTTCCCGAAAAAAACTAACTGGTGAAAAAGTCAACTGATTGATTCACACTGAACTGCACTTTTAGCTGAACATACTAACACTCCATTTTGCTAATACGAATTATTAAAGCAAAAACAAAAGAAAGAAGTAAATTTCACTATTCATGAATAATAAATACAACACTGGTATCAATTTAACACTATTATTGATTCTTTGCGTGTGTAGCATATGATGATGACGGATAACATTTTACCTTCATTGTCTTTCATGTATACCTTCTCTTCAAGGTCACTACTGCCTTATTTCACGTGATCGAAGTGATGTATCACCACCATCTTCTACTGCGTTCTTTCACTTTAGTTGACACTAGTTCGGTGATTCGCATAACTGTGACGTATGCAGCAGTGATAAGACTAGGCAGTATAATATAATATGTGTCTGTCTTAGCTAAGATTTATTTGAATTTTCTTTCAACACTACCTATTAAATGTTATGTATGTATTCATTCCATTGCACAGTTGTTCCTCTTTCACCTTTCTCTTTCTTATATTCTGCAAAACGTTCTCTGCCCCCTCCCTTGATCAATACAGCCTAAAGGTTGTGTTTTGTGTTATTCCAACTTTTTGTACTTTGGCGCGTTCAGTTAATTATTCCAATACAATCAATAAAGTTACTACTTTAGGTGTTGTGTTGGATAGTAATTTTACTTTATCTATGATTTTTATTCAATTAGGCTTTTCCGTTGATTGATAAGAGTGCCGAAGTGCTCGACCTCTGGTTGACTCATGTCGACTCCTTGTGAAGATGTTTCGATTATGCATGATTATGTAACGTAAAGTCAAATTGGAGGATGGCAACTAGCAATGGGATCCACAAAGATGCGCATTTCAGCTGTCCTATTTGGGACTTGTCAGCTGGATATACCTGAGTCCGCCAGTGACTGAATGATGGTGTTCCCACTGAGGCTGGAACTAAGTGCCGATTGTTTCAAATGCCAAAGTGTTATCCACCAGACCACTTTGGCTACGAGAGACACCAGTTTACTTCAAGCTAAATGCTCAGACATTGTTGAAGCAATCTGCACAAGGAGCCGATATGAGTCAACTTGAGGCCAAGGACTTCAATCCAATCCATCATCAGTCATTGGAGAATGCAGGTGCGTTCAGATGACGAGTCCAATAATATGTACATCCGATTAAAAAACTTTTTAGTGCAAAAGTTTGTTTAAAAAACATACAAATAATATGCCTTGTTACTAAACCACTCTAGCAACTTACTAGGACGCTACAATTAGTAGTCGGGATATGCGATAAAGCCAGTGTAGAAAAAATAGGTATTTGAGCGAACTAGTATTTGGACATATTTATTCTGATGTATATATTTGGATAGTGTAGCAATATGTCGAATAATTTTAGGCACTGAATTCCATCCGTCTAGTTTGGACTGAAATTAACCTATATCTGTTGGCTAGTCTATTCAAATACATTAGAACAAGTGTGTCCAAATACTAGTTTGCCCGAAATCCTATTACAAAGGAAAAATATGGGGGACGTGGTAACTCAGTGTTTATTTGCGATTTGATATACACTTATAGGAAAATTATGTATCCTATATTATTAAAATCGTCATTTGCACATTTGTGTTACTTCTGCACCCCGTTATATTGTGCTACCTTGTCTTCATTTTGTGTCTTCCATGTTTTGTTGCAATACACCGGTTCGTTCATTTCCTCTCTTTGACTTCAAGTCCATCTGTCTGTTATCTGATATTTTTATGCCGATGAACGTGTTTTCATATACTACTAATAAGTCTTATCAGTAGTACATGTCCCACTATGTCTTTTGAATGGCTGAGCAAGCAGTATGTCGTTTACAGTCAGCATCAATCAAGTTTGCAGTGTGGTCACCAATCTAGGTGGCTCGCGATCACGGTGCATGTAATCTGAATCATTGTCAGATAGTTGGATGTATGCACAATGCCCTGATTGAAACAACCTGAGTGATTGTCATATTTTGAAAACATACAGCAAAAATTTTGGTTTAATTCTTCTGCATTTAAACGAAAAAACAAGAATACCGCTACATCAGTTTATTTTATGTTGTAAATACCTTTTGTGTAATAAAAGCAGGCAATGCTGTGAATATCACTGCTGAAAATTTCTCCTTAATCGATTAACGAGCTTCGATAAATCAATCACTATATGAAATGTAATCTAATTCTTGACTATTGCATTTGTAAGGTTTACTCTGAAGTTTAACTTTTACTGGACACAGAATATATGTTTTGAGGACAATGTGATGAAAAAAGAAAGCACCAGTCAGTCTATGTTAATATTTGTATAGAAAGGCGTATGAAAAAGGCGCAGTTTGCAGTAAATTACAATGTTTGCTAATCGGCAAATGGGATGAAGGAAATCTTGAAGAACCAATTGTATTCTGTTCAGTTTTTTGTTGTTAGTGGGGTATTACCTTTTTCTAATAATAAATAAAACACAAAATAATCAAGCAAAGAATATCCGTTTCGATAAATTCCTCTTCTCGCTCTGCAATTATATTTATGTTCATATACATAGAATATTCTAGAATAGTAGACAATAACAATATTAGTGCCTTTTTAAATAATATCGATTTGTAAAGTAAGATCACAATGGAATTACCAGAGTTCTTTAAAGATGCCTAAATTATAATAATAATAATAAGGATTTAGTAGCAAATAGAATATCAAGTGAAATTAAGGAAATTTCTACAAAAACTAAGGATCATTCAAACCTAGATGGCCAAGGTAACGATAAGGTCCGAATTAACTTCTTTTGGATGCACAAATTAAGCTTGTTAATATGGAATTTTCATAATTTTAGTTGATATTCTATTTGCTACTGAATCCTTATTATTATTATTATTATAATTTAAGCATCTTTAATGAACTGTGGTAATTCCATTGTGATCTTACTTTACAAATCGATATTATTTAAAAACACTAATATTGATATTGACTACTATTCTAGAATATTTTATGTATATCATTATTATTATATCCTTTAATTCCTAGTGGAACATAGGGCTTCAGCCGCGCGCCTCCATTGAGTTCAATTTTCTGCCAACATTTTCACCCCGCTCCAAACCTGCCCAGACGCTTTCATCTCCTCTTCACATGACCTCCTCCAAGTCACCCCACCCTCGCACTGACGACCAACTCGCCGCTTCCGTTTCGAGTTCCTTTCGAGCACTGGCTTGTCTAATGATGTCACTTGATGGTCTCCTCAGAGTATGGCCAATCAATCTGCATTTCTTCCTGCTTATTTGTTGCACAATCGGTTCCTTCTGGGTTGGTTCACTCATTGCTAGAGACCCCTGTTTCTGATCTTTTCTGGCCAGCCAACTGATCTTGAGTATCGAGCTAAGACAGCTGTTGATGAAGGTCTGTAGTTTGTTTGAGATGCTCTTTATGACCCGCCAACTCCCTGATCTGACTTCACATTGGAGTTTAACATCCGGATCTCATTCTCATTTTCATGACGAGCGCTGTTGACCACCCCACAGACTTAAGAGAAATGAATGCTTGCTTTGCTCTCTCGATCCTTGCTTTGACATCCTCGTCAGTTTCGTCCTCCTGTAGTTAAAACGATGCTTCCCAGGTAGGCAAAGCAGGTTGTTTCTTTCAGGTTCCTCCCATTTATGCTGATTGTTGTCTGTTGTTGTTGCTGTTGGTGTTGGCGAGGAATCTTCATCACCTTTGTTTTCTCTATTTTCACCTGAAGTCCTATCTTCTCGGGATGTTTCTTCTGTCAACTTGTTGCTTTTCACTTGCATATCTTCCAGTTTGTGGGAAACCAAACATATATCATTGGCAAAGTATATATATATACATATATATATATAGTTATAGAGCCATAAGAGGAAATTATCGAAAAGGATATTCTTTGCTCAATTATTTTGTGTTTTATAGATGTCTGAATGAATATCTTTGCTATAGTAATAAATTGATGTGTTGGTTCTTTTTTCATTTGTGCGAACTGTGTGATTGTTTCTCAAGTGATTAACGTGTATGAGTATCTAAAATACGCGTTGTTCTTGATATAAGCGCCTGTGATGGCCAGTTCTCTTTAGAAGTGTTGAAGTAAATTATAATTTTCCTAAATGGAGATTTATGTATATTTTATTAAAATTCAGCTTATCATGTGTCAAGTTTATTGCCGTCTGAATATCTATTATGCATTGTTAATTAATCGTACAGACAGATCTCAGGATGCGAAACTCTCTCTCATTCAGGAAAAACCAATTATGTGCAGACTAAATTACAACACTACGCTTCATCATCAAACAGAAGATAGAATGGCGGTC